TAACTTATTATTTCTATTATATTAATTTAATTTAAAAAAATGTATATTTAAATTTTATATTTATTTCATATTTATATATTTTTTCATTTTTTATTTAAAATTATCGTTATATTTTTATATTAAATAGTGATATTTTTATATATTTCAATTTTTACATTTAATTTTATTCAACTTGATTTTATTTTATTTTAATTATATTTTCTTATAATTACATTATTTTGTGATTATTTTTTTTTATTTGATTAAGTTTTCCGTCGTTCATGTTGTTTAAATGAATCTGTGTTAAATATACCATAAAATGATGGTAAGTGGTTTGAAGCCTTACCTATGAATGTTTTGGCCCAGGTTCGAATCCTAGGAGCTGCAAAACATTAATTTTTGCCCAACAATTGGTAGAAAAGGAAGGGGCAAAATAGTAATTTCAATTTTAAAATAAAAAAATAAATGAAAAAAATGAATAATTATCGCAGTACATGAATGTGTGATCCACGCGCTGTTAAGTTGGACGGAGAGGGGGGAATCGTGCAACAGTTAGTTAATACAAGGGGGTTTGACGCAATTTTTAAAATATCAGGGGAAAACGCGCAGATTTCATATAATACAAGGGGGTTATGTATATTTTACCCGTTTGGATTGCCCTATCTGTTTTAAAAGATTACTGATGGTTCCCTCATCAGTGTGGAAATGTGTGTGAAATTAAATAAAAAATAAAAAAAAGTTGGTTGGTGTGGGAGTAATTATTCCCTCAACTAATCTGATTACTAAGGGCTTCTCCAATGGTTAGCTATTTGGCTAACTATTATGACGTGGACAGGGGAAAAGTAAGAGAGAGAGTAGTCACTAGCTACTAACAAATAGCTTATCTATTTCACGTAGCCCAAGATCATGTGAGAGAGGTATGTGGGTCCAATAATGTAAAATAATTATTTTTCTTATCTCTCACATCCACGTCAGCTAACTATATAGCTAGTAATAGCTATTACCATTGGAGATGCCCTAAGTGGCTATTTCAATCAAAAGATGTAATTGCACCTGGTGGGAGGGTCGTTCTTGATTTTTAGTTCATTTTATTTTATTTATTTATTTTTTGTTTTACGATGTTATTCTGCGTTTGTATTTTTCTTCTCCCGTTGAGAACGTGCCATTGGGGACTGTGTATTATCACATTGAGGATTGGGTATTCTCCTATTAGGGGGTGTGTTTTTTCTTTTGTTGTCTGTGTGTTGTAATTGTGTCCCCTAGGTTACCTTCGTTCCGTCGGTAGGCCTCTGTTCTCCGGCTAGTGAGTCGGGTGTAATTATGTGTTTATTGTTATAAAATCTATCGTTTTTTTCTTTTTTAAAAGTGGTGATGGGTGATGCTACATAGCCACCCTCCATTACAACATAGTTTACATCCACGTGTAATGGAGGCATTGAAAAATGTGCATTATTGCATTTTTTAATGCCTCCACTACACATGGTTGTAAACCATGTTGTAATGGAGGGTGGCAAAGTAGCAAAATCCAGTGGTGATTTTGTTGGGTTCGATATACCGTACGGAACAGGGTTTACAGTGAAATTTAAAATTTTATAAGTATTTATCTTATAAATACTTATTCATTACATAAGTATAACGATATAACGAATAAGCATCATTTAAAATTTAATAACTTTTACTAATTTTGATTTGATATGTAATTTATAAAAATTACCTTTATTCTTGAACTCCTTCAAAACCGACGATGTATGAGGAAATCAATTCCCGGTTTGGTAACGATCACTTCTTGTGGTTACTCACTTTAGGAATCCAAATGTCTTCCCTCTAATCGTATCCACCTTTTGAAGTCCGGTTCCGACAATAGTTCCTTCGCTAGTAGAAACTACTCAGTTTTTCAAGAAGTATAGAATATATATTTATAAGGAAATTTTTCAAGAACACTTTCTTGTATTATCACTCAACTCTTTGAATGAATTTTCTCTTGGAAGAATTTTGCTCAAAACTTAGCAACTAATGTGCAAACATTTTGCACCTATTTATACTAAACATTTTAGCATAAAATAATCAATATTTGATATATTTTATTTTAAATAAAATCAGATTTTATTTAAATAATCATA